ATATATATATATATATAGGAATGTGGAGTGTAATGTCTCTACAAAGCAGGTTTCTTTACTCAAAAGATACTTATTTGTTAATATGTTGGGAATAAATCAACATGTGTGTGTGTTAAAAGCGCCACAGAAACGACTCCGTTTTCACCCATCACATGAAAACCACCTGAAGATAATTTAGAAAACAGAACAATCTAATCTGCTGCATATGTTACATACATTGAAAATTACTTGATGGCTTCAAGAGTCATTGTCATTCTCACGAGAATTAAGAACATTGATAAAACCTGTCAGTAATGGTAATAGTCGTTTAATGTTAAGCCAACCATCTTTGATGTATATATGTATATGTCACGAAACGATAAACTACATCCGGCATCAAAGCCTCCTCTCGGAATATTGGAGTTTTTGCGGAGCATAGAATCACCTCATAATTACTATTGTTCCCAGGTCCACCCTGAACCGGGGTAAAGGTAACACCTGTTAAGGTCCTCGCTATACTCACACAGTGAACACACAAGCAAAAAGAAAGTACTGTGAAAATATAAAATTAAACTTTATATATACAAATTACCATTAATGCACATTTATATAAAAAAAGTACCAACAATACATATTTATAGTAAAATTAACAGCAATATATATTTATAGTAAAATGGCTAACGATACAATTTTAAAGCAATATGACCATATATTTTATAGCAGAATTATCAACAAAACATTTTATAGCAAAATGACCAAGAATACATGTTATCAGTAGTTGAAGGTATACAACTGCATTCTAAATGTATTTAGTTGAAGCCATAAAATTGTTTTCAAATTATTTAGATTTCGGCATTAAATAACCTATAGAGGTTGATATACCTGTAATAAATTCAACCCACGGATCAACCAACTCTTTCAAAACATTAATCCATATACAATTTTTAAGGAAATCGAAGTGCATTCCAAAATATATCTTTAATAAAACCAAAAGATAAAACACACATATCACCGCCTCAACTAATTATGTCCAAACAAACATGTATATGCACAAAAGCTGAGTATCATCTACCATGTATTCAATTGTGAAAGCAGAATAACATATATCATATCGTTGATATGCCCTTAAACAAACAAAAATAAAACAAGCAAATATATCAAAGAATTCATAAAATCGAATAATAAAGGGGATTGGGTATTTCAAGTTTGGTGAAGCAACTAGAAGATCAGAAAGATAGATTTTTTTTAAAACCACTCGGCTGGAAATAAACCCCAACACCTTCCAGCGTCGCAGATTAATATCTAATTTTGACAGACCTTGAAGAAGACATCAACCATTATCCCTGTCCACTAATTGCCGTTTCGTACAATCAACTCATTCTACATTAAATAACCCAATGTGCGGTGATATTATTTACACTAGTTATATTGGGACTATTATCTTTATTTTTGTTGTTTTTATCATAACGTTTCAGCTCTTGGGCTTCCAGGCCTTCATCATTATCTAGTTCTTCTTTTCGCAGTATTAGGTCCTGTAGTTCTTAGTCAACATGTAATTAGATAAAATATTAAGAATATGCTTCAAATACATGAAATGTCATTATGGGATTTGTGCATTATGATAACATTTGTTCTTAAATATGAATTATTGATTTTTCTGTTAGAAATTTCCGCAGAATCAATCAGATATTTTTCCTGAGGCGTATGTCAGAAATTATCTTTCAAATATAAGTAGAAATATTTGTAAATACTCCCAAATCTAAACCGGGAAAGATGATTTGGAGACCCCTTAATCCAGGATTAAATTTCTATAAAATTTTTAAGAAAACAAAAGATAGCAGCGATTAGCAAACCACGAAAATGTTTGATCTGTTGTCTCTGCGATTTGCTTATCTTGATTGAGTACAACAACAGGGAAAGCCAACTGAAAAGAGGAAGAAAGAAGACTGGCTGTTTTGAAAATTGCCTCAGTCACCAGGAGTTTAATCTAGCCCCACTTGGGAGTGGTACAACCTGGGTGGGAATGTACCCTCACTTGAGCTGAGATTATACAACTTATTTACACTATTTAGATACGACATTGGGTACTTTAAGTTTGGTAAGGCAACTAGGAGATCAGAAAGATGATTTTTTTAAAACCCCTCGGCTGGAAGGAAATCTCCTTCTCTGCATGTTCCAGCGTGTCGGGTTAATAACCATTACATCCCAATTTTGACAAATACGTGCTAATGCGCTTGGGAAAGGTATGAATCCTCTTCTTCTCCCCCCGCCCCAGCAAAATAGCCGGACAGACCGGGTTTTATAGCATTGGATGGCAACTAGTCTACCGCAGAATGAAATGACAACCTACTGCAGGAAAAAGATCTGCCTCGTCAGTCATGTATCGAAAGATACATGATCACCTAAGCGTGTATCATGCATGGTACATAACTGACTGATTGACTGACTTGAGGAAGAAATCATCTACTATTGTTATTCACTGTAGAATTCTGTTCTTTAGTGGACCAGGATAATGGATGATGTCTACTCGCCCGCGCATCTAATTCAGAGAAGTATCTTAGTTTCTCCCCACTTTCCGAATCAAACGAGTTCATTCTTTTCATGCAATACAATCTTTCGGTCATCGTTTCATTTACTTTTACCTAGCACCCTAATAAACGTACTTGTGAAACAGAATGGAGATCACCGGCAACCCTTGTACATCCGGTTGGGTTTAGCACGCGCCAACTTATGAAGACGCCCACATTTCTGAACATGTTCATATTTTTACTGTAGACCCATGACTACCTTTTTGACACGAGTGTAAACCGGAATTGTCTACCGTTTCATTTCTAGTAGATCCATGAATAACTTTTTAGTCTATGTTAAACCTGGCGTATGTATTTCATTTTGTCACGAGTGTAAACCGAGTCCGCACCTTTATTTTTCTATTCGAGTGTAAACCGGACCTAAGTTTTTACTTCACTACAAATCTGACCCATGTCTACGTATTTATTTATTTTTTACACAATGCAAATCAGGCATATGTCTAACTTTTTGGCTCATGTAAAAACCTCTGTCTACATATTTCACTCATTCTGTTTAACTTTTGAATCAAGTATAAAACAAACATACATCCACCACTTTTACAAGATATACGTCTAATTATTTGCTTCAAATCGTAAGTTTACATATTAATTCATTTAAGGCTCATATTCTACAATAAATAACCCAACGTGTGTTGATAATATTTGCATTATTTATATTCGGAGAGTTTTCCTCATATTTATTGTTATTATCACAACGTTTTGTCTTTGAAGTCTCCGTCCTTCATTAAGTGTATATTGATCTTGAAAACCTATAGGAAATTCTGAACAAATTCCTTTATTTAATTTACGAGAGTAGATTGTTTTCATTCCACAGTCCATGCTCAGTGATATCTCGTCTAGTTCTTATTTTTAATACGGTTTAGTTATGGGTCGTCTGTTTCCACTGAGTTCAAGTACACATTCCCTGGTCCAGGGATTGAATTCACAATTCGTATATCACCAAATTCATGAAACAAAGTTCTAATCCACTCGGCGAGATATATTCGTTTCCAAAACCAACACACATGACCAAAAACATTTGAAAACGGTTACAGTCAAAATCCTCTATTATTTAAAATAAATAAAGACATAAACCAATTCCTCAAACTAAAATAAAATGAATAAAAATTAAAATAAAAACTTCAACAATAACAATAATAACATTTCTTCAGTTTCGCTTATGAGACATTTCAGGAGATCAGTTAACATCCTTAGATTTTGACATGTTTTCTTTCTATTTATAAATAAGTGTTACAAAATAAAACCCTTACATTTGCCTTGATAAAAATCCATCTGAGGGCGAAGCCCTTAGGTAAATAAAAGATTTACTTTCGTAATTATTCACACACACACACATATATATACACACACACACACACACATATACATATATATATATATATATATATATATATATATATATATATATATATATATATATATATATATATATATATATATATATATATATATATATATATATATGATATAGTATTTATGCGATTGAGACAGAAACTAGAGATAAATAATGTACGCCATTGGTAATTATGATGAATATATCGTACTAAATAAATACTAGACTAATAAAAAGACTATATTAGCATTACGCATTAATGTGATATATATATATATATATATATATATATATATATATATATATATATATATATATATGTGTGTGTGTGTGTGTGAGTGTGTGTGTGAGTACATATGTATTTATAGTGAATATATATAATTTATAATGAATACATATATATCACATTAATATATATATATATATTTATATTTATTAATATATTTTATATATTTATACAGTTATATATATATATATGTGTGTGTGTGTGTGTGTGTACATATGTATTTGTAGTGAATATAGATAATTTATAATGAATAATGAACACATACATATCACATTAATATATATATATATATATTTATATTTATTAATATATTTCATATATTTCTACAGTTATATATATATATATATATATATATATATATATATATATATATATGTGTGTGTGTATGTGTGTGTGTGTACATGTGTACGTAAGGTTTTGTTTTCATGCTTATAAATTAATCTGACTGATGATTTCGTGTAAATTAACGGAAGCTCCCCACTGTTAAAACATTCCTTCTGTCTCTCTGATAAGCAGGGTTGAAGAGTTTAATGGCAAAATGCGTGGGTAGGTAAGGAGACGAAATCGTTGAGTGAGTGTCGAGAGGAAAACAAGTCGAAGAGCCACAGCATTGAATACTTAGGTGGGAGCTGCTGATCCTCACCCCCATCCAAAAAATCAGACACACGTACCGATTGACACCAATAAGTTTGCCGGTGCATTGGAAGAATACCGAACAGTTTTTTTTTTTTTTTTTTCTATCATCGACGCCATTCGTCGCCCGGCACTATTTTGACTTCCACTCCCGCAACAAACTTGGTCGAATAAACGACGCATGCTGAGACACGAGCACATCTTCAGAAGTGCTTTGCACTCAGAGAAGCAACGAGCGCGTACGATAAGTAGCTTACTCCGCCTCAGTATATCTTCGGCTGCAAAAGATTCATCGGAACGTGGCTCATCTGGTAAGTACGTTACTATAAACACTTTGGGTCAGGAAATACACACCTAATACTGTCCTGTCGTCGATTACCGATGTAACGAGTTCGATTCCCGCTGATCATCTAGGATTTTTTGCCATGTGTCGTGCTCATCTATACAGGTAATACGGGGTTTATTGAACTACGTTGTCACATGACTAGAATGGCAAGCTACCGTTTAGAAAACCCTATCGGCTTGGAATTCTGACAGTGATGGGTTAGTTCTGCTTAAGTTTTTGATATAAGACCAAAAAGAAACGACATGAGTCAGACGGCTGCAAGAAACTAAAGGGTCAACGTGCACCTCGCACAAAGATTTTTTTTAATGAGACAATCACGTGATCATCCACCTCTCCCTTCACTTTCGTTTCTTTCTGGAAACTATGTCACAACTGTTGTCCTTTATATAATAAAACGGGATAAAAAAAAGTATATATATATATTGAACGTCGTTGATGCAATCTGTGAAGTAGCGTTGGGAGTTTGAAGACGTGAAGCCAGGAACGACATGAAACGCAACAATTGTTTTGGGCACTGATTGCATCCAGTTAATAATATAATGGAAAGCATTTAGCTACTGAAACGTAACACTTGTTTTCCACCATGTGCCGCAATGTTTTCGACCTGAGAAAACAAACCGAGTAACCTTGACGTCACTCAAATATCAACCGCAAAGCCTGACGAAAATGGTGACTAATCTTTCTTTACCTTTTAATCATTTTGAAAATATCAACACATTATTGGGTTAGTCTTTCTGGGAAAATATAGCATGAAGGTTAATTACTTCTAGAGATTTTTGCTTTACGTGCTGTATCCCTTCAGGAGGTAGGTGATCATGGCCCTCCACATCATTCTCTCCCTTTTCGCTCTGTTTTGTCTGTTTGCTATTCCCCCAAAACCTGTTTTGCTATCCATTTACTGAAGCCCATCATGTTTGTTACCTGCTGTTTTTCTCAGCTCCTCTTTCCCTCAATCTGTCCTGTGAGTATCAGATTTTCCAAGCCCCCCTTCCTCATTACCTGGCCCAGAAACTTCTAGTGCAGAATGCTTTATTCCAGTAAAAGACATGTAAACAAAATATCACCAAGGGAGAAATATGGTTAGAGTACATTGATTGATTGTCCGACGCGTTGACACTTGTTACTTGGTTACTGTCGAATTTTCTTTTCACTTTATGCTCAAACTAATTACACAGTAGAAAGGGTCAATCAGACTTGCTTCGCATAAATTATTAAGGCTTTAGAGATTTACGTTCTGGTAACGAATTCCAAGTTTATAAGAACATCACTTTTTTAATTATTGACTGTGAAGTCAAAGTTTACAAGACGGGGACTTTAACTAGGCCTTTTTGCGTAGTTATGTAATTAATGTAACCAAACAGACCTTCACAAGCGTCTTTTTGGGATGTATTCTATATGTTAATATTATAATCATTTTAAAAGATTGCGGCTTTTTTTCATGAAATCGTTTCTTCCCTAGATAAATAAATAAATATCCACTAATAAATAATGTAAGAAAAAGGTGAATAAATAATTATGAATTATCCTGTTTATTATTATTATTATTATTATTATTATTATTATTATTATTGTTTTTATTTCCTTTGATTTCTGGTGTGTACACATTTCTTTCCGGATCCCACTTAGAGACCTAACGTTAGAAATGGCATCATGACACTTTCCACTGACAAAAAATAACAAAAACAAAAACACACATATTTTACATAGATAAAGCCCTTCGTAAAGAGTGAGCTGTACTTGTCAGAACAATTTTTTGTATTTCTTTGAGGCATGGGCTTTCAGGAATCCCTTCAATTAGTCTACTGGAATGTTTTCCAACAAATGTGAGGACTCCAATTACAACAGGGATTGTTGATGTTCTCATGTGCCACATTCTTGAGATTTCGATTTCTTCTTCTTTTTCTTTTTCTTATTCTTCTAGTTCTTGTTATTATTATTATTATTATTATTATTATTTCCTTTGATTTCACTTGTATACTCATTTCTTTCCGGGTGCTGATCCGAGATCTAAGGTCAGAAATGACATTATAACATTTCCCACTGAGCTCTTTAAAAACAAATCGCGCATATTTTACATAACGTCCTTCGTAAGGTGTGTGCTGTACTCGTGAGAGGCAGGGGCTACAAGGAATCCCTTCTTTGAGTCCACTGGAATCTTCCCCAATCAATCCGAGGGCTCAACTACAACTGAAATTGTTGATGTCCTCACGTACCACATTTTTTTAGATTTCGATTTCAAGGTCCTTGCATTTTGATAGATTTTTAAAGACCTTCAAAGATACATTGCAGCCTACAGGAACAGCCATGCCAATGAACAAGACCATTTTGTCTTTGCCGTCTCTAATCACTGCGTCTGGTTGAACATCTGGGCGATTTCTGAGCAACCTGTATGTAGATGTTACCTTGGACACCGTCAGTAAAATAGTCCATTCCTTTTCTCACGAGGCCCAAAGCTCCGAGTACTATTGGTACAGACTCAGTTTTCATTCCCCGCATCTTTTTAATCTCGATCTCCAGTTTTTCGATAATTATCCTGGAGGTGTTTCTCACAGATGGCACTTCCTGAATTTCTTGTCTTTTATGATAATATCAGGTCTGTTGGCTGTTATTCCCTGTCAGTTTGAATTGGCATGCACCAGAGGATAGTTACATCGTTATGTTGGGTTAATGTGTCTGGTTGATGCTTGTGCCATCTCTCAGTGATTTCGATTTTGTGCTTCTTATATATCTTCTAGTGCACATATGCCGCTACCTTTTTATATGTGTGGGTATATTCGTTTTTTGTGACTTCCGGACATCCTGAGATCGACAGTTTCATCATATATTCCGCAGATCCTGCTTTTCGCCTTAGGTCCATCCTTGATTATGTGACAATGATAGGACCTTATTGTATGGTTTTATTCCTGAGCTGCAATAATTAGGCCTTCTATCTCAGTTTTCCGCCTGGTGCTCATGAGACACTAATGTGTTTTCTGTTGGTTCACATCTGCTGCTTGCGTTCATTTTACGTATTGGCCATGCAACCCCTTGTCCTCCCAGTTATTTTTGCAATTTAATTTGGCTAAAGTTGTTTTGTTTTCTGTTTTACTTGTTTGGCGTAGATGGTATTCGCTTCGTTTTTTATTGGTAGATTTTCAGGTACATTAAGCTGTTTCCTGGAGAGTGCAGCTTCTTTGCTTATGGAGTTGATTTGGTATTTTACTCTTTGTAGGTGAGGGTCATTAGTTTTTGTGAAATATGCTTCCAATATGTTTTTGTAGTTTTTGAGTTAGTTCAAGTTGGATTACACCTCGGCTTCCTAAATCTCTCGATAAGTACAACGTAATAACATCTGATTTCGACTGGTACATTCTAATTTGGGTAAGGATTTTTCTTGCCTTGTCGTCTAATCATTTAATGTTATTCAACTTCCATTTAATTATGTTGAAGCTACATTTTACTATGGGTAGATCTATGGCCTTGATAGCATTTATTTTATTGGCCCAATTATGTTCTCGTTTAGTATCAAACACACTCCCCTATAATATTGTTTTCAGATCTTTTTCTTCATAATTGAATGCTGTATTCCGTCTCCTAAATTAATTCAAAAATATTTGTATGTGCCTTCTGGGTCCACTTCCTTAATATTGTTGCTAATATCAAGGACTAAATATATAGTTTTCAGTAGTTTACCGCTTTTAAAGGTGGCTTTAGTACATTTGTCGATTCTGAGCTCCATCCTAATGTCTTCGCTGAAGGTTTTGACAATGGCAAGTAGGTTCTCTGTTCGTTGTCATCCTTGGCAAACGTTTTAAGTTCATCCAATATAAAATAGGTGATTCAGTTTGCCATTCTGTGACTTGTATCCGTTGCTACTCTTGTTCAGTAGGCAGCTGAAAAGCGCTAATGCAAGGCAGAAGAGAAGTGGGGACAATAAATCTCCTTGGATGATCCCGCTTTTGATGTTGACTGGTTTCGATTTTAATGACCTGTTTCCATGATTTATGTTTAGTGTAGTCTTCCAGTTTTTCATACTCTCCTTTATGAATTAAACCGCTATGGGGCATAAGCTGTATATTTTTAGGCTCTTCTCTATCCATGAGTGTGGCACACTGTCTAACTGCATTCTGTTGTCGGTCCATGCTATCGATAAATTTCTTGTCCTTGTTTTCACCTCTTCCAATATTGTTTTATTGATAATTAATTGGTCCTTGCACCCATAACCTCCTCTTTTACATCCCTTCTTTTCTGCTGGGAATAAATTGGTTTTCTCAAGGAAGTCTTCTCGGTTACGTTACTTGTGAGGATCTCGTAAATTGTCAGTAGGCAGGTGATGGGTCTATAGTTCTTCGGGTTCTGCGTATCTTCTCTTTTGGGGGGTAGGTATGCTACTCTCCACGTGAGCTATTTGGGGCACTTTTCCAGGTTTATGATTATGTCATTATATGTCGGTGCGACGTGTGGTGGGTGCTCGATAGGTTTTTTTTTATTCAAAAATTGAGTATTTGATCTATTCCTAGTGTTTTTTTACCTTTTTGGTTTTGCAGATAACAGCGGTCGTTTCGGTAATATTGATATCCGTCCGATTTGCACTCTGTATGCGTGTGTTGTTCTTGTTACTCGATCCATGTAGCTCTTTCATTGTGCATTTTGCAGTTTTCCCAAATCTTCCACCAGAACTCTTCGACTTTCTGAACATTAGGTGGGTCATTTATCTCTACTTTATTTTTCCCAGTTCTCGATATAGTTTCTTTGCGTCTTCTTTGAAGATCTTGTTTCGTCAAATAAATCTCTTTCCTTTTTCATAACGCCTGATTCTCTGTACCCTCGCTTGAATTTATTTTACATCTTCTGTCTACCTTTTGGTACGCCAAACTTATTCTTTATGTCAAGGCTTCGTTTTATTTGACTCCTTTTTCTTTGTTTCATTTTAGAGCCCTTGTTAACTTCACTTAGAAGTGATATCGTAGTTTATTTATTTCGGTT